TCTACCTCTTTAAAGTTGATAAGTGTTTGGTGGTTGCTTCTTGGTGGTGGTGATCATGGTTGATTCTTGATGGGGTGTGGGCGGTGAGGCAGAATCATTGTGAGTAGAGTGGGTGGTGGGTGGGCGGGCTGGCTGGCTGGCTGGTGGGTGGTGGAGCAGCAGCAGCAGCAGCGGTGTGCGGTAAGTGTTACGACACACTTGTTGCCCCACGTTACATTCTTCCTCCCTCTGTTGCTCTCCTTACCTCATACACTTTCTCACTGGCCCACCTTCCTTCTCTCCTTACCTCATACACTTTCTCACTGGCCCACCTTCCTTCTCTCCTTACCTCATACACTTTCTCACTGGCCCACCTTCCTTCTTTCCTTACCTCATACACTTTCTCACTGGCTCACCTTCCCTCCTTCACTTTCTCTCTTAATGGGTCAGCTTCTCTCCCACATTCTCTCACTGGCTCAGCTTCTCTTCCTTACTGGGTCACCTTCCCTTCCTACCTCCCTCCCTCAATTTCTCACTGGCTCGACTTCCCTCCCTCACTTTCTCACTCGCTGGCTCACCTTCTTACACAATAACTTCCTTTCTCTCACTTGCATTTCACTTGCTCATTATTTTCCTTCGCCCTCTGGAAGTGAACACCTCAGGGGGTTAGGTGGGGCGAGGGAGAGGTATAGTGTGTTGATTATGGTGACTCTTATCAACAATAACATCCAGAGAGAGAGAGAGACAGAGAGAGAGAGAGATTTTATTTTATTTACACGGGCATGGAAGAAAAAACTAATTCCTGTATACCAAAGATGTTTATTAAATTTCAATCACAGCAGTTCCTTCACTTATAGGTATCAAGGCTCCTCCCCCCACCCCACTTCCCTGACACAGCAGACAAGAGTATTAAGACGCATCACATTTCCTTTGTCATTCCTCATAAATCTGGGAAAGAGAGTGTGTGTGTGTGTGTGTGTGTGTGTGTGTGTGTTAATCTCAATATTAGTAGGATTGGACAGCTGTGAAGAGGAGAGGAGGAGGATGTTTTAAAGACGATGAATTGATATCAGAATTAGTTAACTATTTTGGTTGTGTGGGAGGCTGGGGTGGGGGGGCACAAGATAATACGGAGAGGGAAGTGGAGGGAGGGCGAGATATTAACGAGGGGAGGGAGGTGAATAGTAGGGGGTGGAGGGATGGTGTCAAGTAAAAAGACGTTGTGGGTTTAGATTACGTCATTATTTATGTATTGTCTTTGTGGGATCTGTCTCTGGATGATATCTGTTGTTTGATCTGAGTGTTTCTGGTGGTTGTTTGTTTTGTTTGTTTGTTTGTGTGTTGGAAGAGGGGGGTGGCGGATGTCTTCACTTTCCCTCTCCACACACCGCTCGCCGTCTTGACAAAGGGGACTTGGTTCACGAGAGGTTTGGGTGAGGAGCTGCAGCCACTGATAGATTACGGCGTCGGCTCTCCTTCCTCTGGCCTCCTAGTGTCCCCTCCCTCCTTCTCTATCTTATTCCAGGATTTTTTCTCCTGCTGCTGCTGTTTTCTTCCTCTTTATCGCTATTGTCCTGACCCCCCCCTCCTCCCTACAAAAGTCCTGATTATGAACGAGTATAGCACTAATATAACTACACTTGCTGGGGCTGGCAAATGAATATGAATTCAGTTGATTAGCATAAGATTACGTCGTTGAGCATGCAGGGCACAATAGGCAGGTGAAGGTTAGGGGTGGTGTGGGTGGCGAGATACACAGTAGCTACAGTTGTGTGGTCGAGAATAATGCTCCAGCCACCCACCTACCACAAGGTCTTCCTGTATCGTCCACTGCTATCTGGAAATCACATTAATTCCGCTGCCAATTAGAACACTTGATGAGGAATATAAAACACGTGGTAATGGAGCTTGTTTATAAGAGAAAAAAAATTGGCGATGTGGTCATTTAACGGTAGGTAAAAGTGAAGGAATGAATTGTCTGTTATTGGTGAGAGGGAGGAGAGTGGGCCTGATGGGACTGAGAGGGAGGAGGGTGGGCCTGATGGGACTTGAGAGGGAGGAGGGTGGGACTGAGAGGGAGGAGGGTGGGCCCTGATGGGACTTGAGAGGAGGAGAGGTGGGCCTGATGGGACTTGAGAGGGAGGAGGGTGGCCTGATGGGACTTGAGGAGGGAGGAGGGGTGGGCCTGATGGGACTTGAGAGGGAGGAGGGTGGGCCTGATGGGACTGAGAGGGAGGGGTGGGCCTGATGGGACTTGAGAGGGAGGAGGTGGGCCTGATGGGACTTGAGAGGGAGGAGGGTGGGCCTGATGGAGACTTGAGAGGGAAGATGGGTGGCATGAACTAGGTTAGGTTAGCTTAGCTCCAGGAAGGACATTGTAACACTGGGCTCACCTTGCACCATCCACCCACCCCACTCCACTCTCACCCCCCACCCACCTTCCTCACCCATCCACCCACCCACCTTACACCCACCTACCCCCCCCACCACCCACACCCATCTACACCCACCTACACCCATATACACCCACTACACCCTACACCCACTCCACACCCATATACACCCACCTACACCCATATACACCCACCTACACCCATATACACCCACCTACACCCATACACCCACCTACACCCATACACCCACCTATACCCATACACCCACTTATACCCACCCCACCCACCTATACCCACCCCACCCACCTATACCCTCACCTACCCCCACTCCACCTACCCCCACCTTCACCACATGAGGGGAGAGAGAGGGGGGGGGTGAAATGTACACGTGAGAATGTCTGTGGTACTTACTTGTCAGTGAAAATGTGGACTACTCGTTGCAAGAGCACATCCTTCTGCCGTGTGTGTGTGTTTGGTTCACCCTATAGTCCAGCCCGTGAGAGTATACAAGAGTTCCTGAAAGCATGGACCAATGAACCACTTGTTGCAAGAGAGCGCCGATAGAGAGCGCACACAACCTGTTTTGTGCCGTAAACTACAGCACGTTGGGTGAGAGAGGGGGACGGGGAGAGGGAGGGGCAGTGTGGGTAGGGTGGGCTAGGATACTGTCTAAAAGGAGAACAGCCTTTTGCATGTCGAGGTGAGTCGAGATGGATTTATTTATTTAGTTATACCAAACTTAAAGCTTTACCTCAATTTAGGAGTAGTGTTAGGTCTTAGGTTTGTCCCTCCATGAAAGTATATTAATTGTATTATTTATTTATTAATATTCATCAATCTGTATTTATTTAAGATTGTAATTTCTGAGGGGGTAATGATTTTGGTGGCGGGACGCGTGTTGGAAACTGGACGTGGCGATCAATATGATGTGCCAGCCTCTCGCACTCGCTGCCATCCTAAATTTACTGTAAAAGATTTTGATGGTTGGCTGGAAGCTCTACTTGGACAACAGTTATGAAGAAAATATTTATTGTCTATTCGTGTATTGCCGTTGAATTAAAAAAATCCAGATTTATTTGTTTTGGTTATTTTTGTCCCTATTATTAGCCTCCCCAACAAAAAAGTACACATACGGACTAAAGAGGAGCTTTTAGTAAGAGGGAGAGCATTTAACGTTCTTATCATAGTTGGGATGTTTATAATGGTATTTGTCTTGAAGCTATTATTAGTGCTGTTTGGTTTGACTACTTATTTTTGTCATTAAGTGTCCTCTACGCCCCACAGTCAGGGTAAGGATTGGTCGAGGTTTATAGTTAGGCTTAATTGGAGTGTTTCAACGTCCAGACTACTCCTAAGGTTCAGCCGGGCTCGACTTGAAACACGACTTAATGTTGGTACTGTACTGGCGTCTTAATTTGTTTGTTTTTTCAGATTTCGAGGAAAAAAAATGGCAGAATTTTAAACACAATAGGGGGGAGGGGTCGTCTGACGACTAAATGATCTAAATTGTTGATCGTCTTGCAAATTGGGGAATGAGTTTTTTGTGTGAAATTCTTTATAAAATTGATAAAACATCAAAATTCCAAGTTGGGCAGGAAGAAAGTATCTTACGGCCACAAGATATAACTAAAAGTTGTTCCTCTTGGAAAATCATGAAACTTGTAAATGTGAAATGTTGAATTTGCATGTTTGCAAGACTAAATTTTATAAAATGTTCGAGTTTTGCTTGAACTTTACAATGTTGTGAATTTACATTTTCGGGCAGACCTGAGGCAGGTGTGGTGAGATACGAACATTTTGTTATATTTAACCCAATGTGAGAAAAAAAAATGAGCTCGGTTAGAAGTCTAGAAGTCCGTGCTCCAGGGGCAGACTCCGCACCCTCAGAAATTTTTAAGTTGTGTCGTGTGGGGTTAGACTGCCAGTGTGGGAATTTAGCAGAGGAGCATAGTGGTCTGGGATGAGCCTCGTTAGCATGGTAAGTAGGAACTTGGGGAGCATAACCAGCCAGGTGAGTTGGGAGCGTGGTAAGGTTGGCCATGTCACTTTCACTGGCATGACGGACCGTGACGCTAGCAGTGAAATGATCCAGAGAGAGGGTTAGGGGATAGGGTAATTCAGGTGAAGGGGTAGGGGGAGTTTGGGTGGTGTTTAGGTTGGGGTGGTTAATCATTAGGTGACCAGAAGGTTGAGGATTTAAGGGTCATCACTGGCGTGGTTAATGCCCCTGGGTACCGGAGCTCCGTCCTGGGCGACTAATCATGGCTGGAAGCTGTACTGGTGTTCACATTAACCCAAGTCACTGTGGCTCCTTAGTTCATTAATTTATTACAGATTATTTCTCTTCCAGGAAAAAAATCGTCTCAAGAGTTCAGTGTTCAGTTTTACAACATATTCGGTATATATGTCTTGCATCTAAAACTTAGTCATTATCACGGTTACCATTTCTTATCACTGTCAAGGAACGATGTGGGCGGTACTTAAGTAGCCCCGGGTTATCTTTGTGGAGTGACTACAGTAGTGTGGGCTACACTCAAGTGTGCCCCACACTAGGAAGTGTGTGTACATATAATTGTGTGTGCAACACGTGTCGTTCCTATTTTAATAACTCGTTAATTTGTTTTCCAGGTGAGACGACTTCTGTGGCTGAAGAATAAATGTGTGCAGGAAAAGAGTTCATCGGTGACGACACTTAAGGTAAATGGTGTTGAGTTTGGTGGTGGTGGTGGCGCCACGGGTGGGCTGAAGGGCAACTAACTCGTAGTCGGTCAGTCTCGGTATCAAGACGTACAGTAGACACTTTACTGTGTTGACAACTGCACGTTGATTACACGAGTCCTGTTTGGGTAAAAGATAAAATATAACTATTATTATAAATACTGTAGTGTAGATGTTTGTTAGTTAAATACCCTATATTGAGTGTCGTGTATTCTGATGCTTTGAGGTCGGTCGTGCCCTTGGTCTGGTTAACGTGGAGGGGGAAGGACCAACTTGTTTATGTACTAGTTGTGGAGGAAATAACAACTGATTAACACAAACGTTTATAGCGACACAAAAGGCCAGCTGACAGTTTCCCGCGCGCGTTTGGTGTTGGTCTGCCTCAAGACGCGTGAGGCTGACGAGGTGCGGTACTTCAGGGTAAAATTAGTCTTGTGTGGAGCAGTTAATGGATTAGGCTGGTGTAGTCTCGGGTTAGTTTCGTGGATTTGATGTCAGTATTAAGAGTTTATTTTCGAGGATTTTATACGTCAGATTAATTTAGTTTTAAGGATTTGGGGTTAAGCTAGGCTGGGTTAGACGAGGAGGAAGGTGGCAGGCAGCAAGGTGTGTGGGAGGTTTGTTTGTGGTGAGGGTAGTGGTGGTGAGGGTAGTGGTGGTGGTGGTGGTGAGGGTGGTGGTGGTGGTGAGGGTGGTGAGGGTAGTGGTGGTGAGGGTAGTGGTGATGGTGGTGAGGGTAGCGTGTGACGTCAGATCCAACACGCTACGTATTACCCTCTTGATTTATAAAGAAAAAGTCGTCTCCATCCTTTTAGATTGCAGGATAAGATAGATCCTAGTGACTCGTATATTGCTGTGGTGTTCGCCTAGCAGTTATCGAGTTGTCGTCGGGTAGGCCTAATAAATTTACAAATATTCGAATAGGCCTAACCATTTTGGGAATAATGGCTTCAGGATAGGCCTAACCATTTTGGGAATAATGCCAACGGATAGGCCTAACCATTTTAGGGATAATGCATTAGGATGGGCGAACATTTTTTCCGGATAATGACTACGGGTAACCAGCATCTGGAAGGTCTTTTCTTCAGGTGGTCTAACACGATCAGGTAACCAGTTAAATTTACCGCCAGTTGGTGTATTAAGTGATAAAGGTGGTAGTAAGGTGGATGGTACAAGGCGTACAGTTGGAGAGAAGGGTGTGGTGGTGGTGGTGAGGAGGAAGGTGAGGCTAGGGGAGGGTGGCGTGGAGGCAACGAGACGTGTGTATAGAGGAGAGAGGTGGTGGAGGGGGGTGAGAGGCTGGGTAGCAACAGAGGGAGGGTGAGTGGTATACAAGTTAGATTCCGGTATATACACACCCTGACCATGGTATACACGCCCTGACCAAGGTATACACGCCCAGGATAAGGTATACACGCCCAGGTCAAGGTATACATGTGAGTGTATGATGGTGGGCTCCAGGAAGGGAAAGTCGTAAAATTTTGGTGTGTATGGGGAGGGGGTGGGTGTGTGTGTGTGTGTGTGTGTGTGTGTGTGTGTGTGTGTGTGTGTGTGTGTGTGTGTGTGAGAGAGAGAGAGAGAGAGAGAGAGAGAGAGAGAGAGAGAGAGAGAGAGAGAGAGAGAGTTTTGTATGTTAGGAATGTTCATGCGTGCTTGTGTGTGTGTGTGTAGGTAGGAGAGATGTGTGATATTTCTCACCTCGCCTTCAATCTCTCCCTCTTGCTTTTCTTACTTTCTTCCATCCTTACCGCTTTTCCTGACCCTCTCCTCCGCCCCCCCTGTAGGTGCTATATATAGTACATCAGCCGCCCACTGGAGGGAGGGTGTGCCGCCCACCTCACCGCTACATGCGCGCCACCCCTCCACCACCCACCACTTGTAAACACGGCCTCTCCTCTCTTCCCCCTCGACCCTCCCAGCTCCCCTCACCCGCCGCCATTGCCAGCCGCGGCCCCCAGACACGCTGGTCACACCCAGACACACACACACGCTCCAGACCCGGCTTGCGTCTCTCTCTCTCTCTCTCTCTCTCTCTCTCTCTCTCTCTCTCTCTCTCTCGTTTTTGTGCGTGGGAGAGAGCCATATCCCAGGCACCAACAAGACTTGTTTAAACCTGTTGTACTGTTTTGTGTTTTCTCCCCTCTTCTTTTTCATCCGTCCCCACGTCCCATCATCCCCCTCCTTCCATCCGCCCATTTTACCTCCTGTCCACTTCATTTTTCCTTCTCTAAACCTTCGTTCTCCCTCCTCCTTTTTCCACTTCCTCTTCCTCCCCCTCTTCATTCCTTCCCCTGCTCTTCCTCCCTTCTTCTCCTCCCTCTTCCAGTATTTCCCAGGTGGATCAACTGCAAAATAAAAAGTTTTCCCTCAAATATTTCCGTTTTACCCAGTTCCTCCTTTGTATATTAATATTATTTGTTTTTATCTTTATTAGTCTTATAAATGCAAGTCATGTTTGTCATTACTGCTGGTGGTCAGGAATGTGTGACTGTGTTTACTGAAGGTCACTTGTAGTAATTTCTTTGTCTTCGTACTATTGGTTGATGAGAAGTTCTCTCCCACGTGCTCCCTCCACCTCTCACATGTTCTCTCTCCTCTCTCTGGTTTCCCTCCCTCTTCCACCTCTCATAGGTTTTCTCTTGCCCTCTCATGTTTTCACTCCTATTGCCCTTCCCTTCTCGCAAGTTCCCTCCCTTCATTTGGCCTCTCCTGTGTACCTTCCCCCCCTCTGGCCTCTTGCTCTTGTGAGACCACACCTGGATTACGCAGTTCAGCTCTGGTCACCGTATTACAGAATGGATATAGAATCCTTGGAAAGAATTCGGAGGAGAATGACAAGACTAATCCCGGGCATTAGGAACCTTGATTACAGAGACAGGTTAAAGCATCTTAATTTGCACTCCCTCGAGAGACGTAGAGCGAGGGGCGACCTGATAGAGGTGTATAAATGGAAGTCAGGGCTAAACAAAGTGGACATTACAAAGGTACTCAAACTATCCAACCAGGAGCGAACTCGTAACAATGGTTTTAAATTAGACAAATTTAGATTTAGGCGCGAAATAGGTAAACACTGGTTTGGAAACAGAGTAGTGGATGAGTGGAACAAGTTACCAAATATCATCATTAACTCGAACACGCTGGATAGCTTCAAACATAGGTTGGATGCTCATATGAGCAATAGGGGTTGGGTGTAAACGGGACTGCCCAGTATGGGCCAATAGGCCCGCTGCAGTTTCCACCATTCTTATGTTTTTATGTTCTTACGTGTACCTGCTTTCCCTCTGGCCTCCCACGTACTGTATACCCTCCTTCCCTCTGGCCTCACGTATGCCCTCCCTCTAGCCTCCCACGTGTACCCATCCATCCTCCGGCCTCACATGTTCCCTTCGAGCCCCCTCCTCCCCGTTCCTTAGCAGGTGAGTGACCCCCACCATCCCGAGGAGGGGTGCCCGCGTGCGTATTGATTGGTGAGCGGGAGAGAGAGAAGGAAGAGGGGAAAGGAGGGAGGTGAGAGGGTAGGTGGTGGGTAAGGGAGGGAGGAACGCGGGTGGAACGCGAGGAAGTGAGGTGAGTGTGAGAAAGAGGGAGGAAGTGAGGCGAGAGAGGTAGATGTCTGGGGTCGTGGGGGTCACAATGATGATGGGGTGGGGTGAGGAGTGACAGATGGACTTATGGCTGGAGTGGTGGAGGTGGGGTAAAGTAATGGTGGGGGAGATAGTGGTGGTGGAGAAGGAGGAAAGGGGGGGAAGGGAGACTGATGATGGAAGTGGTGGAGGAAATTAATATTGATGGTGACGAGAATATGTATTGTATAGGTTTTCCCCACCACCACCATGACGACCCCACCACCACCACACGACTCCACGACCCCTGTTGCTGATCGTACAGGCGTCAACCAGCGCGACCTGAACTGCTGCTGCGTCTGTGAGCGGGCCCTTGACCTTCACTCCTCCCCTCCTACCCCTCACCCTACTCCCCCAGCCTAGTGAGAGCGGGAGCCGATGCGGACCCAGGAAAGTCGTGGGGAGAGCGGGAGGCGTGCCACTATAGTAGTAGAGGGGAGGGGAAAATAGGGAGAGGTAGGCGGTACTGTGCTGCACTGACGCCGTTTCCCCTCACATCTCTCTCTCTCTCTCTCTCTCTCTCTCTCTCTCTCTCTCTCTCTCTCTTGTTCTTGTTCATTCGCGTTCTTTACTCAATCTTGTTCATTCATTCATTTCGTCTCGTTCACAAGTTGTCTCTCAATAGGTTTCGTCTCTTATTCACTAGTTATCTCGTATATTTTACTCGTTTACGCATTACAACATTCACACTCCAGCGTTCGTCCACCCCCTCGGCTTGGCTTTGAAGAGTACCAGAGGGCAGTGGATACAGCGCTCGGCCCCGCCCCCCATCCCCCTGTCTAGTGTGTCGCTGGTTCGATCCCAAAATGCGCATCTCTCCCAGTCCATCCAACTGTAAACAGGGACTTGTGCCTATACAGTACACTTGTGGAGGCCATCAAGTGCAGTGCCGGTCTTGCTGTCTCCTTGTGTACCGAAGTCTTAGTGTATAGAGTGGGTTTTATATTAAGTCTTAACCCTCTTATAAAACACCTGGCAGTCTTAACCCCCTTATAAAACACCTGACAGTCTTAACCCCCTTATAAAACACCTGACAGTCTTAACCCCTTATAAAACACCCGGCAGTCTTAACCCCCCTCATAAAACACCTGGCAGTCTTAACCCTCTTATAAAACACCTGGCAGTCTTAACCCCTTTATAAAACACCTGACAGTCTTAACCCCTCATAAAACACCTGGCAGTCTTAACCCTCATAAAACACCTGACAGTCTTAACCCCCTTATAAAAACACCTGGCAGTCTGAACCACGTGTTGGTGTTTTGTAATCAACTTGGCCTGAAGGTTTACCCTTCCCTCCATTCCTTCTTTTCCTCTCTTCCTTTTCCTCATCTCTTTCCCCCTCCTCCCTCTCTTCCT